GGGGGGGGGGGGGGAAGCACAACCTTTTTTTTTCAGAAGGGCTTATACAACAACTGCATAAGGTGAAATCTACTCATATAATTAACTGCAATACTGGAGCCCAATCTTAGGGAACAACCATAGGGGCTGTTCTTTTTGCCTTCTCCAGAAACACAAGTATTTTTGAGGGCCACAGAACTACCCAGACCTACAAGATCATTGTAAACTTCCTTCATGTTTATCAAAATGGGGCTCTGATGTTTCCAAGGGGAAAAAAAATGCTGTGTTGATCTCAGAGGAGAAGCCAGTCCCCTCTGTTGTTTTGTTTTTGTTTTAATAATTTCCTCATGTATCACTATTTTCCATATAGGTCCATTGATCATATAGAGCAGCCTTCTCCAATTTAGCACAGTCCAGATGTGCTGGGACTGTCACTCCCAGAATTTCTACCCAGTATGGCCATCCTAATACATCAGGAAGGTGCCAGATCAGGGAAAGCTGATGTAGATGGTCTTTATACTAGTGCAAACTTAAATTCAAATCCCCATGCAGTGGTTAGGTTCATATAGTGTGCTAAACCATCATGTGATTTGTTTGGTTTTGGCTTAGCGTGTTTTATGAACCCAAAATTAGTAAATCACAAACTTACAGTTGTGTGTTCTGTGAAAACAACCAGTTATGGTTTATTGTGAAACAAGCCATACCTTAGTGAATTATGTGAACCAAGTCAACACTGAAGATCAACTTGGCCAGTGAGGCTACATATTATAAAGCCCATGTGGAATAACCTTGAACTTTTCAGCAACCCTCCCATATAAAGAATGTAATAGCTAAATCACTCTGTAATTATGCATACCTTATGCAGAGATACTTAAACCTAGACCTCCTGTGTTTAAACAAAATTGATGCCCTACCCTTACTTGTTTTAGCAGTTCAATGCTGCTGAAATCTCAGGTTGCAAGCCACCTCATAATATACTGTGTGCTCAGCTTTTTTTTAATGATATGCTAAACTTCCTACAAAGTTATTCAGTTCTCTGCCAATTCCCCATTAAACTTATTTTCAAGTATCAACAAGGAGAATCCATTGTCTGCCTTTTCACTGCACTTTGCTGTCTTCAAATCCCCTTTAATCCAAATTAGGCAGAATTCATGCCAGTAAATTGATGTAGATGTACCTAGCCAGCACCCTTTGGGTCAATAGCTGTTCCTCTCCACTAGGAATTTTCTGTGTACAGGAAGAAAAGTACGTACAGTATTGCTTAAATTTCTGGCATCAGAAAACAAACAAGTTAAAATGCTCTTTGCCATTATTACTGAGGAAAGAGTCTAACAAAACTTCACAATGTCATTTCAGGGCACTCTTATTCCATTTGTATTTATCTTCTCTAGGCTACAGAGGACAAAAAGGTGAAAGAGGTGAGCCTGGAATTGGCCTGCCAGGTGATCCTGGCCCACCTGGTCCTTCAGGTAAAAACAGCTGCTACTATTCTTGACAACACAACATTTAAAAAAAAAAAAAAGCAGTTACTAACCTGGATTGAGTTGCCCTGTAATGCATTATTTCTGAAATAAAAGTCAAGACCCAGTGCTGGATCTCTGACTGAAATTAACAAGGCTAATTGCAGTTTCTTGTTTGTTTGTTTGTTTATTTGTTTGCTTAGTTACTGGTATGCAAGGCCCACCCGGAGCTCCAGGAGAACCAGGTGCCCAGGGACCACCTGGCCCTACAGGAAGATGCAATCCAGCAGATTGCTATCATCAAGTCTCTCAAACTCATCCCCGAACAACTGGGAAATGAACATCTATTCTGGATATATTTTAATTCCTGGGTTATCTTTTCTTCACTTCTTCCCCCATCCTCCTACCAAATTATGAAATTTAAGCTTTAAAATATTGGTGCATTTCTGTCTACATATATTCTACAAAGCAACTCAATGGAACAATTCTTGTCCAGAGTTAAGCCAATTTAGAGATGTTGTTTTCTTGAGTTCATTCCATATATTTATAATTTTAGTCTATTTTTCTTTAGCAAAATATGCATCATGATGGCCTGTTGACCTCTTAATGGTTTTTCAGTTCATGATTTTTTTTAAAAAAATGTGATTTTCCTACTTTTACCTTTAACACAGAAGTCATATTTAGTTTTCTTTTGCTGGATGTCTTCTTGGAGTTCCATGTCTTAAATGACAAATTTGGTTTATAATATAGTGGCCAGAGTTTGAAGTTTTTCTGAATGTTTGGTTAGAAATCTAAGTAGTAACCAATATTTTCCTTGCTCCTGTCACCATAATGTAATATGGTAAGATCTGCAGGGTTTTTTTGAATTACGTCTACATTTCTGAATGACCTAAAAGACCTTTTGAGTAAGGCTACCATATCTAGGCTGCAAAATTGGGACAACTACAAGACAGTAGCAAACTCTAAGTCTAGTGATTCTCTAGATTTTGCAGCCAAGATCTGGCTGTCTTACCTTGTGAGCCTCTCTCCCATTAGTTGTTACTCAGGGGACAAATGTTAATGAAAACAGAGCACATGAGTAAACTGCAGCCTACTCACATTATAGACCAATCAGAAGCTAGTTGTAAGCATGTTTTCCTTCCTATAAGGAACTGTTTGTAGGGTTTTCACTGCACAAGTGAAAAAGAGCCTAATTATTAGAGGCTAGTTTAGTTCTCAGGGGGATTGCTGATGATAACTTGTCCTAGTTAACTTGTCCTAGTTAAAATGCACATTTGTACTTCAGCTATACTAGGGTGTCTTATATTTAGGTTGATAATTATTATACTGTGCAAGTCCAATCATATCCAACCTCTAGTCCTGTCAGCCCCACTAGGTAGGCTAGACCAGGAAATCAATGTAACAAGAAGACTAGAAGTAGCCTTTGTTGAAGTTGTATATTATATTATGAAGCTATAATAACAGAATCTTCAGGTCTGGTTGTGCTGTATCTTCCCTCTCCCCCTGCCTTATTCTCTAGGAAATCAGGGAGGTGTCTGCTTGACCTGCTTCCAAATATTATCTTGTTTCCTAGAACTTAAAAAATGTTTCAGCCCCCTTTGCCTAGGTAACAGTTCTTGCATATTTCTGCCAAGCTCATCTTTCTTATTCTCTACAAGTCCTTCATCTACAAGTCCCATTGCCTCCGGCCAGCATGGCAAATACCCTGCTTATTATAGACATTAGGGTATCATCCAGTACTATACACCTGGAGAACAAGAGATTATAGAAGATTGTACAAATCTAATGAATTTCCAAGGCTTATTATAATGTAATGAGGACTTTAGCTCAGGTAAAATTCTGACAGACAAGATGGAGAAATTCTGCAAGTAACTGTAGTTTGGAAAGAAGTATGTATCATCTTACATCTTGGTCACAACATTTTCTTAGTTCCTCTTTTTTTTGTCAGGGGGAGGTAAAATCAGATGTTCAGAATCAAAGAACAGTCAAACATTAGGAATCCCACTCAGCTCATATACACTGACATAAGATAGGCTAGCTGGCTGTACACTCAACCTTTCTCTGAAACATTCAGCGATTAAGGCAGATTCCAATTTCATTTATCTTGAGGATAAAAAGATTGTATAAGGTGAAGTGAAAGTAAACTGTTCGGTAGAGATATAACATTAGTTAATGAAAAGTGTTGACATCTAGGACTAATGAAAAGAGTGACTGTCTCCTGGATTGATTTCTATATTAAAAAGTTATCTGGACTTTAGCTCTTCCTAGAATAGATGTATCTACATCAAAGCTATTTTTTAAAAAAGGAAGATGCCTAGGTGGGAATAGTACAGATTAGTTGAAATGTAGTTCCTTGTTGGTGGGATATCTTCTATATCTAGAGAAAACAGTGATATGGTAGCTGAGGGCCATATTTGACAAATGTTTTGGCAGCTGCAGCCCACAGTAGAATGGATAGTGATGGAATTTGCTCTGAAGTTGTTCTGAAGTTGGATCATTGTCCTGTTTTGATGGAGTAAAAGGACATCTATGTTTCAGTATTACAAAATGGACTGCTGGATAGTTATAGTGTCTGGCGGGATTTTGTTTTGCTTTAAGTTGTTAATCTTGCTTTATTTAAACTTTTCTAGCAATTCCAAATTTAATTCAGACTTTTTCAATTTTTTTTAATTTTAGAATTTATTTTATTTAGACTTTGCTATGAGAATAATTATAACTGCTATATTTTAACAAGCTTCTGTAAAAATGTCACACTTTGGAAATATATAGAGTAACTGAGATTATATATAATATGGCGCTTTGTGTATATTTTGACTTTTCACTAAGTGAAATATAACTGATAAATTATTTGGCATTCTTAGAGGTAAAAGTATAGTACTTGAATTTATCAGAAAAATAAAACATTTATGTATTTTGGGGAAAATATGTTCAATTCACATTGCTTTCATTTTTGTTGCCTGTGTCTGATAACTATATCTATTGGGGAAAAAACATTTGTTCAAAGTTTTAATAGGTGATTGGGATAAATGTAAGTTATTTCTCTTGACTTTCTTCCTGAAAATTTTTGGCAGTATGTCTTTCCAACGTCAACTATTGAAGATGTAGTGTAGCTTTGTGCAAGAAAAAGGCCAAACTCAAAAGTTACTTAAAATCTTTCATGAATTGAAGTATGCAAGATTTCTGTTCTTATCCATGTGTGTGTGTGTGTGTGTGTGAAATTTTAGTTCTGCTCTTCAAAACCAGATAACCTATTTTGTTTTTCTAGTGCCTTCACATAGTTTTTAAGTAGTGAAGTTTATTCTTATATTTTATTAAAATAAATCAGGAATTAGTCTGGGCAGCCTATTTTAACTGAGACCGCGGGATATCTTTATTCTGTATGTGCCACACAGCAGGCAGCTGTAATAACTTTTCAATTTAAGTAAAATATTTTTTTCTCTACTAATATAGTCAATCATTTCTGAAACTATTAAGTGATACTGAAGCCATGAACTGAAATTCAGAGGATGTTTTCAGATAGAATGTAAGTAGTACTGCAAATCAAACCTGTGTGCAGAAAAATGGGTATTTTTGCATTATGCGCCTTAAAAACAGGATGCGAGGACCACTGAGAAACTAGTGGATAAAATGCTGTTGTCTCTGGGTCTCAGTTCTGTGAATAAGGCTGGGTGACTGAATGATAAAAGTCTTACCTCAAAGCATCCACAACCTGTCTGTTTCTGCAGATGAAATCCATACGCACCGCAGCCTAGTAAATTACTCCTTGTAAGCATGGGAGTGGGAAGGTGTTCATTTTTACTTGGTTTGGTTTTGTGGTGGAGAGAGATCTTGGTGTTCAACTTAAGATTGGACTCTGGCAAAGCTGTACACAGAATTAGGAGTCTGTCTCTGGATGTCTGTCTCTCTGTCTCTCTTGATACATTTCCAGAGAGAAAGGATTACTGTTACATTGGTATACGGTATGTCCTTGGATCTGGAGAAATGAAGGCAGGCTTTATTAAAGGCATCTCGGTTTACCCCATGGTACCTCGCTCTGATGTCTCTCAGGATACCCAAAAGCTGCTTTCTGCTCTGTCCCCCAAACATATTTTCTGTCTCTTAGCCTGTTACTAAAATCTAATACACACTGATATGCATATCAAAATCTGTCTCCTGTAAGGCAATGAAGAAAGGTCAACAGACACCAGAATCAGTCTTGGTTTATTGGAATCATAGTTGCAATCCAGAAAAGGTACTAAATGGACCCTAGTCAATGGTGAAAATGGATTACGTGGAGAAGTTAGGTCTTGAAATCCCATAATCTTAATTTCACAAAATGAGTCTCTCATTTCTACTTCCCTGTCCCTGCCTGCCCTTGAACTATGTTTCTGAAGTCACGTTTACTGCAGAGTCCTGCACAGTTTCACACAATTATGTATTCTTATCTCTAGATTGGTTGCAGGTTGCATGTGACCTCTAGAAGCTGTGGATCTCCTCCCCCCATGATCCCAGGATGTACTCTGCCCATCAGTTAACTAAGGGGATTCACCTTTCCTCCCAGCATCACGGCTGAGAATCACTGTAATTCTGCTGCTAACGGCAGCAGGAATGCAACCATTCTCCTTCACTGGTAGAAAGGATAAGTCTGTTGGTTCCATGTTTCCTTTGAGCAAAGGAGTTGACACTGTTGGGTGGGATGTCTAGGTTTCTAATGTGTTTGTGATATGTTCATGTGAGGCAAGGTTGTGTATGCATGCTCATCAGCTTCCTGGCAGTTGCACAGCTTCTCAAGCTCTGGCCCAGCCCTTGGTGTGGCTTCAGACCACAGAGGCTGTGCACTTTTGCTCAGGGTCTTGTCTTTACAGTAGCAAATCTGAGGTAACCCACTGTAAAACATTCTGGGTTGGCTGTGGAATCTGTAGAATAAAGAAGATGTGGCTCTTATATTCCTTGATTTTGATTATTTAAACATTTTATTGTCACAAAACCATTACTATTTCTTCAGAATTACCTTAAGCAAATTGTAGAATTATTTAGATTTGTCTAAGCAAAATCATAAACTCTGAGTAGGTTAATTAATGTGAAATCTTGCAAAACTCAATTTGGTGGTGTGAAGCACTTTTTCTTTTTACCTTATGCATATGATTTAATAGAGTTTGAATTCTGTAAATGCATGTAAGATAGGAAACTGTGCACTATATAATAAATAACCTTGTACCAAGTTTCCTTTTTTGTCTTTACAAAATAATATCTTTATCTTTTTTTGTCTTAAAATTAATATATAAATAAGGGAACAATTCAGGCAAGGTTATATTTGTTTTTTCTTTAAGTCTCATTGTTTTCAGCAGGAGATAACTTAAGCAGATGCTTATATCTCCCCTTTGAATCAAAGGGATTTGATAATGCTTACCTTTGGATGGATAATGGATATAGTCACAATTTACAGGTAGTCCTCGATTTATGACCATTCGTTTAATGAGCGTTCAAAGTTACAACAGCACTGAAAAAAGTGACTTACGACTGGTCCTTGCACTTATGACCATTGCAGCGTCCCCATGATCACCTGATCAAAATTCAGGTGCCTAGAAACCAGCATGTAATTATAATGATTACAGCATCCTGGGGTCATGTGTTTGCCATTTGTGACCTTCCCATCCAGCTTCCAACAAGCAAAGTCAGTGGGGGAAGTTGGATTTGCTTAATGACTGCAACAAAAAAGGTTGTAAAATTGGGTGCGACTCACTTAATGACCACATCGCTTAGCAACAGACTTCCAGTTCCAATTGTGGCCTTAAATCGAAGACTACCTGTAACGTAGCTTGCACATAATAGGGTAACAAAACCTTGAGCACTATCTTGCCCCTTCCACACCTGCAGCTTTGTGCAAATGAGATGGAATTCTCATTGGGTTTCTGTGGATCCTCACCTTGTTCCATATTTCTTTATGGGAGCAGTAAGTGTATTTCAATTTTTACATAAATAAAAAATGCCTTGTTAATGATGTGCAAGCTTTACACTATTTATCTCAGACATTAAATTTTAATATCAATATTTTTATATAAAAATGTATTTGGTTTTAGGGCTAATATAAGCCTGTTTGCTTTCCTTGTCTTTAATTTTAGCGTATACTTTATTACCACATGCAAATGTGTTTGATATAAATATGCATCACAAGTTTTCCATACCTCTGATAACCATTAAGAAAATATCAGGTCATTATGATGATGTTTGTAAGTTTTCAGCTGCAAAAGTATTTGAGTGAATTTTAAATTGCAAGGAAAGATAGTAAATATGAATAGACCAAATGGATGTACAAACTTTGCAAGAACCAAAATGAATGTCATAGTCTAACAATTAAAGGTGCTTAGTCCACTGATCTTCATTGGTTTAAGCATGCTTACTTTACTGTTAGATTATGATCTAGGTTCATTGTTGCTGTTTTCTTTTATAAAATACAAATGCTTTTAAATTATTTACTGAACTTTTCTTTGTAAATATTTAGTTATCTCATGTGCTCACAACAATTGATTGTAGCATATTTTATTGTTACCTTTTCATTACTGAATAATATTGCCTTATTACTTGTCTTCACATCTCTGTCTCTGTTTTCTTCAAATCCACAAGTGGAAAGTTCACTTGTTTGCATATGCTATCTTATCTGCTTTGGTCTTAAATGAATTTTGAATGGCATTGAATTGAACCTGACAGGTATGTTTTGGGGTTTTTTGTGTGCATTTATAAACATGCGGTTATTTTTTTTAAAAAATAAGCCACATTTAATTTGTAGTTGTTTCAGAATTTTATAAAATTTTATTTCAATAGTTTTGATGGAATTTGCATTCTCCTCCTGGTTTATATTGTTAGATTTCATCCAACAATTTCCATTCTATTTCATTCTCTTATCAGTTTCTTCTATTGTTTATTTATGTTACTGCTATATTTAAAATAAAAATTAACTGATGGAATCACAGCTTTAAGGTTGTGTTTCTTATTTGCTGTCCTGATCCTATGCAAACCATTTAATAGATTCTAGAGCATTTATGAGCAATTGTGAATATAGCAGTGTAATCAACGTACTTTGCTCCATGAAAATTACTAACAAATTTATAGTGCAATCTTAAACATGTTCACTCAGAAGAAGCATCCACTGAATTCCACAGGCTTACTCCTAGGTAAGTGAGTATAAAATGACAACATCAGTTTACAATTTATGGACTTTTATACATAGGAAATTGATATTTTAAAATGGTCAAGAAAGGCAAAGGTAGTTTTCATGAAGCCATCTTGTCTACAAACTATCTCCAGGCTGGTCTGAGATGTTTTGCTGCTGGAGGTCAAAGACATTATATATGTATATATGTATGTATGTATGTATATGTGTATACACACTCACATACATACAGTACATACATATACGCATACATACCTACTATAAGATTTTCAGTGGTAGGCTGCTTAGGAGACATAATAGGGGCTGAGACACAGAGCTCTGCCCCTCCAGCCTGTACTGTTGGTGCCCCATTCTGCTTAAGACTAGGGCCAAACTTAATGAATGCCTGTTTCTTTAAACCACACACATGAGATAAGATGAGTCATAGACCATGAAAGTACTCCAACATATTTTAAAGCAGTTGCACTCTCCATTAACTGTTAAGTCTGTTTGTGCCAGACTTTATTTGCTCAAGTGTTACTTAGATAAGCTCACAAGAAAACCCAAGAATTTAGAATAAATATTATTTATCGAAGGTTATTATAGAAAGCTATAACCAAAATAATGTCGGCAACATCGCTAATTTAAGAAGTAGCCTTATTTACAGAAGTCCAGTTCAATCCTGTTTGTATTTTGTTTTCCTGCCCTTCTTTGAGCAAGCCTGTTTCCACTGACCAAGTGAAAACTCTCATTGTTTCTGAAATCATTGGGGTATCTTTTTTATTTTTTCTTGCTGAGCTTTCCAGTATACATTCATGAAGAATTCTATAGATACAATTAAGAAATAAGGAGAAAACGTGGAGTAAACCATACAGATAACTTTCTTCCAAGTGTCACTCTGTCATAGCTGTGTGTGCTGTAACTTTGTCCTGTTTAGATACTAAAGGGGACTTCTTACAGCATTACTGAAGCCAGAGGGGTGATTCAGTTTTATGACAATAGAGCCAACTCTTCCCTCTCCAGCATGAAACATGTACTTCTACATTTTATATACTGTATGTTATTAATGTAAAGGCTACACACAAGCGCACATATATCCATACCATTTTCCCCATAACTGCTGCCTTGCCAGGCAAAATCAGAGCCCTCTTGGTCATTTTTCTATCTGTCATCAACCACCATCTGAGTTTGTAAGAAATAGCCCAATTACTGTGATAGTACTATGATCATTTGTATATTTTCTATGCTCTCTGTACAAAAAAAAGGAATTTACAATAACTTAGCAAATAAATTAGCTTGAACAGCCAGAGCGATCTGAACTTTAATACTAACTTAAGGGATCTATTGGAATAAGTAACCAGGAAAGCACAGGTGAAAATAACTACAGTTAATTTCAAACACACAGAAACTAAACAAAAAGAAACATGGAAAAGTAGAATTGATTATTTTAAAAGGGCACTTTTATTTTTGACTTACAAATGACAGATCATGTGATTCATAAAACAGGGGTTAATAAATTCATAATGGATTTTCATGAAAAAAAGCTATAATCAAACTACATTAAACATTTTGGAGGATGTTATATATTAATACTTTTGGTAGTCTTTCCAGTGCAATCCAATATTTGATTTGGTTTGGTTTTTGCTGTAACAGAGTAATAAAGCTACTTCCAATTATTATTAGAAACAACATGGGGTTTTTTTTTCCAAAAAAGGGAATCTAACAATGCTCTTTGTTATATTTTTATTTGCCTTTTATGAAAAGAAATGCAAGGGATTAAGCAATGTTATTTATTTCATTTTTATACAACCAGAGATAAGGTATTTTAAAATAAATAAACTCAGCTATAAATTTTAACTGTTCTTAAAGATTTAAAATCCTTTAGCAGTGGCTTTCTGACTTCTAGGTATTCAGACAGATGAACATATGGTGGAGCTGATGATGGTGTCAAATAAAGAACAAACAAATTAGAGCAGGAAACGAAGGTTATTTCACCTGACATATTCCTGGTAAACCTGGTGCTGAAGTATACACACGCTTCTCAGAAATTAACACTTTTAAAAACAGGGTGACTACATCTAAATCTCAGCAACATGCAGAGTAAGTTCAATTGGCTAATTTACAACACCAAAATGGGCCCTTGGGGGAGGGAAGCAAAGAATACATTCATAATTTATTGTTCAAATGCACTGGACTGTACTACAGAAGTTTGTTATGGTCTCCCATTCTGCAATGCGGTACTTCAGGAACTCCAAAGAATTAACAGCTGAAAAAACATCAACAGCTGCCTTTCACCACAATTCAAAAAAGGAAAAAGAAATCTGGCATCACTTTGTAAACACCATTTTGAAATGTTTGGCTGTCTTGCACTGCTTAAGAAATAGTTGGAGGGGACAACCAGACATTCTGATCTGTCAAGGCTTTGATAGGATTGCTGTATTTTGACAGTCTGATTTTCCTAGACTGGTTTCTCTTGGTTGTCAGATATCTCTGCGGAGCAAAGATGGTTTCCAAAACTTCGTGTCATTTAATTGAAAGCTGAGTTTTTCATGGCCCTTTCACATTCAGCCCTCCTTGTAATCCAGCTTCCACAGTACAGGCTGACGGTTCACAATAACCAGGAGGACCTGGAGGGCCAGGGGGACCCGGAACACCAGGGGAACCAGCTGCTCCAGGGGGGCCTCTCTCGCCATCTCGCCCATCAGTGCCATAGCTGGGCTTGCCAGGTTCTCCTGCGAAGACAAAAACTGGGCCATGAGAGTTCAGAAAAAGCACCTAATATCATGTTGTGGTAGCTTTAAAAGTCTTAGTTGCAAGGATGCTTCCATCAGCCTTGATCTGTCCTGCTAACCACTATCCCCATGTAGAAGGCGCAAAGCATTAGTGGAAGCTCTCTGCACAACTGGCACCTCTGGAAAAGTGAATTTCTAAAGTCTTAACAGAGGACAATTGTTGCTGTAGACCAGTGTTTTTCAAACTTGGCAACTTGAAGATGTGTGGGCTTCAATTCCCAGAATTCTTCAGCCAGCATGCCTGTGGGGAATTCTGAGAGTTGAAGTCCATGCACCTTCAAGTTGCCGAGTTTGAAAAACAGTGCTGTAGATAGTCACCTTCCATATGAAAGGGGAGGTTGGGTTCTCATTTTCTCTCCTGTGCTAAGCCAATAGGAAACAGGTCTTCCCAATGAAAAAACAGTTTCACTGGATGGATTTATCACACTAGATAATATGCAGACCCAGCCATCCTAGTTTGCAAGCCATGGTCTATGGCTTAGTGTGCTCAGTGAACAGAGCCAATTATAGTTTATTCAATCAACCACAGTAAAGAATAGTTCACCATAATATGTAAACAGAGTCAGTATAACATTCAGGTCTTTCCTTCCATGAAGACAATCAGTGCTTTACACCAAGTCAGACCCAACTGATCCATGGAGCCTGGAATCATCAGTCTGACAAAGGTAGACAAAAAGTCGAAAAGTGACATAGACAACATAATGTAATCTAGGGAAAGAAGGGGGAGATCATCTGCTGGGAAATTAAAGCAACAGGATACATTTTACATGAAGCAGAGAAACATAAAGGGGTTACTTACTGAAGTATATGTAGTACAGTCTTTCAGAAGTTACCACAAGATTATTTTTACTATGCCAACTTATTTGTCCTATACTGAACACTAGAGGGCACTTTTGCTTCATTTATAACTAATGAAGACTTCTGCAGTGCCTCCCACTCCTCCTATATCCCTAATACCCAAAAGCTGAATTTTAAAGTGTTGTGCCACTAAAATCAATTTAAAGGATTTGCAAATCCTCACACAATTCCTTTTAAGTGGAAACGTATGTGGTATTTATTCAATATATGCTTGGGCCTTGTCTCATGCAATGTTGCATACTATGCAGTTATGACACTATTACATCAATTGAAATTGATTTTAATACTTTTCTTCTATGGCTTCTTGGCTTTCAAGCTGATTTTTATTAATGTGTAAATCTTCAGTTTTCCCCACCATGACGAAGATGTAAAAAGCAGCATGACAAAAGAATGGTTAATATTTGTGTTTCAAGAGCCATAAACTGGGGTCTAATTGGCCATTTTAAAAAGACATACACATTGGCAGAGTTCACACATATTTAAGCCTAGATTTTTCAACCAAGGTTTGTTGAACATAATGGCTTACTTTGCACAGATTCCCTAAATCATAAATGTGTGGTTAACTCATGCTAATCCAGAGCAAACCCTGTATGGCTTGGTATTACATATCAACCAAGTCACGTCACCTTTTGAGATAGAGGCCACAGAACTGCAACAGAAAAGGGTCAGAGAAATTGGGATAGAGAGGGAAATGGTGTGTGTGTGTGTGTGTGTGTGTGTGTGTGTGTGGGAGTGGGTGGGGAATGGGTGGGGAATGGGAATGACAAAGCTCTCATTCTTCATAGCAGATACCTTTATTTCTAGCACTGTGTTAAATGGATTTTCTAACATGAAATAGTTTAATCATTTCTTAGAGACCACCTTCTATACTCACCAGGGAGCCCTACTGTTCCTGGTAAGCCCTTGGGCCCTTGACCTGGGAATCCTCTCTCCCCCTTTTCACCTGTTTCACCTAAGATAAAAATAAGAAAACAAACATTTCTTTTATTTTTCATATATTTACTACTCCCTTACTTCTTTAAAATGTTTACATGTCAACTGTCATCTTGTTTAACATTTCCATTTGAGGTACAATCAAGTGTAACGCGTCCTTGAAGCTACTAAAACTAAAACACATTAAAAAGAATATGAAGACTTTTGTCTGGCTAGAAAATGTCTGCGAAGAAGGTGTCACTGCTGGGAAAGAGTCTCCTTTGTTCTGGTGTGGCTTTGATTACAGAGGTAGCTGGCTAGAGATTAAGGCACCTCTGCCTGGAGAAATGTGGGCTTCTCTAGATGCTTTTAAATGTTTACGGTGGATGCTTTTATCAAGGCACCTGGAAAAGGCCTTGAGAACAGATCTTAAAAGCCTGATGCACTTTCAGATATATCGGCTTCCAGCTACTTACAGCTTTAAAAATAAGTCCTAATACCTTGAATTTAGCTTAGAAGTGAATAGGCTGGCTTATCTTTATGGTCAAATGTAGGCCTCTAATCATGCCAATAGTACCAGAGTTTAAGAGTAAGTTAAACTGAATTAGACCTATTTTCTAGTTCCAAGAGTTCGATTCTTTTGCAATTAGTTTTCCTTTTCATTAATCTCTGCCCCTCTTTCCTGATTTCCGAAAGGAGAATGCCGGTCTTTCATGGCATTTAGTAAATGTGGGTTTCTATTTCTTACATCCTATTAAGCATAAGATATGCTTTGATTTTATCCGGAATAGTTAAGCAGTAAGAGAGGAATTTAAGTTCACTCTGAAACAGCTGATGCTGCAGATCATCACTTTTCTGCAATGCTGACAACCAGAAAAGGCCATTTGGTTCATTAAATCAGAATAGTTTGTGTTTAGCTGTGGGAGACATTATAGAAAAGCCTATGGCAGCATGGAGGCTGTCCTAATGGGATCTAGGCATCCTTCCTGAGACTGCGACTAATTCCTGCCTCTTTTAGAATTTCCTTCCTCCAGGCTTGATTTGGTGAACTGCCTACATTGAGACCAAACTGCCATTAGGAGGAATGCTGCTATAACATTATCATATATTTTATTACATTACCTATGGACCACTCTTGGCAGGCTACCTCCTTCTGGAAGCTTTAAATTTCTCACCTATTCTTGTCTTTTGTAACTGTGAGATATAAAATGCAGACTTTGCATTCTCCCTTTGTGCAGGTTAATTAGCTGCTATTATCATGCCAGCTTACTCTATTTTGCACACTCATTCATATTCTCCTTCTTTTAGAGGTAATGTGCTTCCAGGTGCTGATTACTGTGAACCAGGGTAATTATCCTGTAGCGCTGTCAGAGAGCAAGTTATTTTGGTCTAAAGCTTTGTTAATTTTCACTTCCTCTGTCCCCTTTCAGCCACCTCTGATCTTTGAGTGTGAGAATCACTTCACAGAATTAGTTTTCTCCAGCAGATATATGTTCATTTTGAACCTGGAATGTGGTTTACTCCAAAACCAGATGCTATTTATCATGCCGCTGCTTCGGTGCCTTTCGAAAAGTTTATAATAGCATGCCAAATTTTAATTAGTGGGTAAAATGCAAAGTTGCATCCAAGCTACAAACCAGTAGGTTTGGGAACAGCACCTCTATTCAACCCAGGCTGAATATCAGCTTTCCAGACATGACAAACATCTACCTTGCATTTCTCATCAGGAATTTTCCATCCATTGCAGCCTACAGCCATCAATTTTACCCCCTTGCAGCCTAACATAATTCAGATTACATAGGGAAATAGAGTATTATCTGCATAATGATGGCATCTCAGTTCATCTCCCAGATCAACCCACCTAACAACATAATATGGATCAGAACGCTCATCTCTGATCTTGAAAAATAGCACATGTTAAAAAGTGCCACAGGGTCAAGCAAATTACACTCCAACCCCCCAAAATCCCAATTTGCTCAGAATCAAAACCACCCATTTTTCCCAAACCTTTTCTTTCCCGTTTTTCTGATTAGGGCTAAAAAAAAAAAAAAGCACTATTGAGATTCCCCATATGCAATGCTCTGGATTGGATGCTACCTCTTCTGCCTATCCCAATGGCTCACGCTTCTTATTTATAAAGCTGAGGAATTTCTGTTTGATCCAGAACAGACTGGCCAATGAAAAAGAATGAAATCATAAGGTTAGCACAGGTCCACTTGATGAATAAATCCACCTTAAGGGTCACAGCAGAACCACCACCATTATCCCACAGAGTGCAGAGTGTTTGGAGAATGCTGAATGAACTGGGATATATACTGGGTTAGATACAACTTTTTAAAAAGTCACCTCATAGTCTTTCCTTGAGTCAAATGAAAAAAGAAGAAATATTTCTCATACTCCATGCAAACCCAGCAGCAGCATACATTTGGGGGGGAGTAGGGTGTGAAGACAAGCAAGATGGCAGACACAGCATTGTGATACATGCCCTGCCCTTTTGGTACATGGATCAAGATTGCATGCAGATACAAAAGGGGTAGAGCTTGCATCACAACACCATATCTATCATCTTGCCTGCTTCAACCTCCTCCCTGCAGATACCACCTAAACCTAGGAAAATGAATAAAGTTGAAACGATTTTCATCCATTTAATGGAGGGTCTAATAACTGGATTCCATAAAATATAATAAACAGGTCACAATAATCAATATATCTGATATACAAATCAATATTATGAATTTCTCACCTTTGGGACCTTTCAACCCAATGTCACCAGGAGGGCCTTTAAGACCAGGCAATCCCCGGGATCCAGCCTGTCCTGGGAAGCCACTGTCTCCTGGAGGTCCAGGGGAACCAGGTGGGCCAGGTGGGCCTGGGAGGCCAGGAGCCCCAAATTCAGGCCTCCGAAGACTAGCAGCCATCTGTGCCATTTGTTCTGCTCAATGAAAAGAATGACTGACTGATGAACCATGAGGACCACTTCCACACCACCACCTTCTCCATTCTGCAATCTCTCTTAGGCAGTTTGCAAACAACCCATATCATGATTCATGAAGCAAATAATGTTATTCGCTTACAGTCCTGGCTTGGATCACTGCAAGTCCTGGAGCAAGATAAAAACAAAAGTCCTCCCACTCCACACAAAAGGAGAGGAAAAAAGAATGAAGAAATCCAAGCAGCCTAGTACTTGGCACAAGGCTCCTCCCCTGCTTAAAAACAAAAAGGATATCAATGTCAGTCCTCCTTGCTGAGAGAGGGAGATGCAAAGCTGTCAAGCCAGCATTCCTCTTTCAGGACCTAATAGGGTTCCTTGAGCTCAGGGGTGAGAAGACCTACATGAACTGTTTCAAAGCACTGCAAAAGGAAGTATTGATGTTACAACAAAAAGCTGAGCTAGAAATAAATTGGCTCAGTTTTCCAATACCACTGGCATTCTGGAATCGCAGAGCTCCAGAGCTGATTTCAAAATGGTGGAAATCACTGGTGTGTAAGTGCCCTAATAATAATAGTGTATTATTATTATCATCATCATATTATTATTTGAAAAACAACAAAATTTGCCATTGTTTTAAACTGACTGATGGTAAACAGATTGTTGCTGGTTGTTCATGTAGCAAGAAGCCAGCCTTGGAGAGATTTGCTGTGAGAGGGAGATTAAGGCTTCCCTTCTAAGACAGCCCTGCTTAAAAGAGCTGATTTCCCACTCCAGGATCTAGAAATTGCAAGCAGGAATCCTAGATGGACAAAGCTTCGTTGTCCCTTCTCCCATGGCAGGATGGAAAGGAGAGGATAACTCTGTGAGTGAGTGGGACAAGTCCCACATCTAGCAAATGATGTGGTTCTCGGGATGAAAAAACAGCTGCCATCTGGTCTAGGTAGACTGGTGTTTACACTCCAGTTCTGAAACTCTTGTAAATCCAATGGCACTAACCCTATATGATCTCATGACCTACTGACCACAAGGGAGCACTAGGCAGTAGGTAAAAAATTAAGGATTTGCTCTGCATCCCTTCTTTGTCCTTCACTCTGACTGACAGATAGCTAATCTGAGGTCACTTCCTTCTGCCTTTCTTCCCAGGCACACGTGCGTGGAGCACATGATCTTGGACTCTGCTCCTGGTAGGATGTAGCTTGCTAGGTGCTAGGCTCTGACATCCCTATAATCTATTTCTTGTAAATAATCTCCTTTCTGTCATAATAATAAAGCTTGCTTCACTAGTCCTTGCTCAAGTCAGAATACTGCTCTCAGGAATATTCTCTCACACTCGTTGCCTGTAACCTATTTGGCAATGGTAGGGATTGAAAATCTAGGATCTTCCGCATGAAAACAGGTGCTCTGGCCCAGACCTGCAGCCATTACATTTTGGAATAATTGATACTGACAAAGGGAGAAGGAAACGTTTATCCTGTAGCAAAGACATATTGCAACAGGAAACAAATGGGGTACTCTGCTCTGCAATTTAAAAAATAGTTGCACCAAGAAGGCCTCAAATTAAATCACAAAGAGCAATAATGTCTCTTAAACTTCAGAAATACAAGATTGTAACATCCCAGCAGGTCTCAGTTGCAGCCACTAGCAAGCTATTTTTCCAGAGCAATAAATCCCAAAGCACAAGTATAGTAATGCACAAAGCAAGAATCAAATCAATGCTGGTAATGTGTTTATGTGTATTAATAACTGAAGGAACAGAGTTCTCATTATCTGCTCATTATATATACAATAGAGGAAAGATTGCTATTCTGGGGCTGAGCCCTCCAATTTCCATGAATTGCTGTATTTGACATAAACATTTGAAACCTTTACCTATGTTTTTGCAAAAGGAACTCCATAAAGTACAACATTAGATAAAAGCAATTAGCTAGCATTATTTATGATGAATGCATGTAGGTTAATAATATCAGCACGATTGAAAAGAGAAGTTCTTTCACCTAACACATATACCTGTTTAATGGTATAATCTTATACCCTATGCTAAGGGGTTAGGGTTTCTGCTGAACCTATCAATTTCTCTTGCAAACACAGAAGACATCCTGGAGACTGGTCACTAATCTATCTAGGCTTGACTGCTTTCAAGAGTTTCAGAGTGGAGTTTTTCCCAGCCCTCCCTAGAGATTTTGGGACTGAATTGCCAAACATCTGCATGCAATGTATATGTTATTTCCTTTTTCAGTGAACTGACACCCACCATAACAAGAAAAAACAAATGATTATTTAGCAGTTCCAAATATAATCCCTGTCATTAAAGAAAAAAACAATCACAAAGCAGATTTTCCATGAAGAAAAATTTCACAGAAAGTGTGTGTGTGTGTGTGTGTGTGTGTGTGACAGAGGGAGAAAGAGAAAGATGTCTTACTGCTAGAAGTTTGGATATGAGTTTCTTGGAGAAGAGTTTATTTTTTCTTAAGAAATGAATAGCTATTATCGATCCTCTGTTTTTGACTACATATCTTCAAAAATAATAATACTGATGCCAAAATTGCCTTCAACTGTGTAAATAGGAAGTGTGCCTTGATAATTTTGTTCCTGCTCACTACCAAGTAAGGGTTCTATACCTTACAAGAGATATACATAGATGAGACATTAAAGGCTGTATTTCAGGGTTTTTTTTAAAGAGATACTCTTTTTTTTTTCCTTCCCAGCAAACTTAGAAAAGCATATACTGTATATGCCCGTGACATGTAAAACACTCTCTCGCATTCCATCTAAAATTGAAATTTATAGGCGTTGCTACAAATCAGTCACATTTGAAAACAATAATCCTTTCCCTTAATCTTGCCTTTCCATGTGCATGGAACATCTTGCCTAAGGAGGCATTCTGGAGAATTCAAAAGCGTGCAATTATTACAAAATGTCAAAATGCCTAATAATAAGTACTCCCTCTGTGGATTAGTTGAGTTTGGCATTAATTTCATTTATTACTGTATTTGTATCCTGCCTTACTCTTGAGAGCTCTATACAGCATACAGTGCACGGTAGCGTAAAACATACCTTGCTTTATCTACACAATAGCCCTGTGAGATAGGTTGGGTTGTGTGAGAGAGTGATTGGCCTAGAATCAGCCATGGCAGAGCAGGAGACTTGGATCTGAGTCTCCAGACCCGGGTCCTGCACCTCAGCTATTATAGTACAGTCGCCCTCACTGGTTTTCAAAAACTAGCACAAGAGAAAGCGGGGTTAAATGAATGCAGGAGCTGACAAGATAAAACGTACACACATGATATTTGTACAGTTAACTTTGTACATGCAAATGAACCCATGACCAAACTTTAAAAATATATAAGCATAGTATTTTTATTTACCTTGTATTACTCTCATGCAAACCTGTTTAATATGCAAATCAGTTGGCTCTCTGCCCTGAAACAAATACAACATTAAAATAACATAGTGATTGTGTGAGGATGAAGTAGATGAGAATATAAACAGTAAAGGGAACAATCTTGCAGCTGCAAGCATGTTTTCAAGACTGCAGATTAAGCAATTCCAATAATACAAGGAACATAAAGTCAAGAAAAGGAATGTAGGCCAGGACATGCATTAATGTCTCAACTAGGGGATCCTGGTGACTCCTTTTTACGGCTTCCTGGCACCTTACTTCAAAAAGGACACCATCAGAGGCAGATGGGAGCTGAACATGTGGGGCGTGGGAACAGAGGCAAAAAGTGATATACCGTATCCAAATAGGGCCCGGCACAGCAGAAAACTCTGCTACTCCAACTCACCTTGGTTGAGATTTGGAAGGAGTACTCATTACTCCCTTTTTTAATTCGAAGGAAGAGCAGTTTCAAGTTCATTATCACACGACAGTGATATTGAACTCCCCAGGTGCAGTTTACCACAAATAGCACTTTCAAGGACAAATGTCGGCAAGGGACAATTTTAGATCTGAAGAGCACAGTGGCTGAGGAACAGTCGTTTTTTTCAAATGGAAATGGGTGCATTAACTGTGCTAAGGTAGGGCCTTTTCAACGTCAGTTATGTTACAATCTAGGATTAATTCTCAAAGGAGGTTTGCCTGCTCCATTCACTGTGTGTATTTAGTTCAACCTGCTTTTTACTGCTGCCTACACAAAATTATTGAAATATATTTCATTAATAGTTCCAACTGTTTTCCAAAACTCTATGTTGCCATGTGTGGACTCAGGAAGGGGTATGACAGCTGGCATCTTAGATACTTTAGAACATAGAAGATCCAGAACACTAACAGATTCACAATGGACCTACTGACATTTTGAGTCTTTCTGGTACACATACTCAAGAAATAACAATAAGCAAGTTGGCATTGTGATATTCAGTCATTTTAGCAACAGTTCTATGCACATACACATTTTCCAAACAGAACTGCCCATATTTCCTATTCTGGCTAGCATACATGAAAATAGAATTCAGAGACAATTTAAAAAATGACAACCCTGGATATAAATTGAGAGAGGAAAAACTAAATTCCTACTTAGGACTGACAAATGCCCTATAAATAAATGTATGCCATTGTGCAGCCTGTAAGTTATGAATTTGCTTTTTAAAATAATCCTGCAGTATACTGTATGTGAGTTGGGTGGCCATATAAATTTGCTAAATAAATCAATATTGGGACATATTGTGTATATGACATGAAAAATCAAAAAGGGCCAGCTAGATGGCCACAATCAACTTAAATCTTAAAACTTTAAACCTTTAAATGAAAGCAAATATTAGAAATAGAGGCTCTCAAGTCACCAGTGAGGCTGCCATAAGTTGGGGGAAGTCACCCAGAAGGTCCATGGAAAGTACGAGCCTTTTGTGAGCATTGAGACCAACTTCAGTCTCATAGAGATCCAGCCAATTGTGTCACTGTCAGATTTCTCCTTCAAAGTCTTGAAGCGCATTGGCAGGAAAAGGGCTTGTCAGCGCCCCTTGCCCAGGATGCAGAAGGTCTCTGCGACATGAAGGCTTTGGGCAAAAAAGGAGGTCTTCGTCCCTCTTGCATTTATTGGCTTTGTGTGCCACGCAAACAACTCCACACAAAGCCAATAAAGTGTGGTGACAGAAAAGATATCTATGTCCACAGCTGAATAGCCAGGCTAGCAACCTAAGGAGCATGAAATACATTCTTCCACCTGCATTTGTTCCTCTAATACAGGAATTGCACTTGCCAGAGCAAAACTCATGTTGTAAAAAGAAACTGTTACTTACCGCTGGTCCCTGGCTGCCGGGCAGCCCTGGAGACCCTTGTTCCCCTTGTAAACCACGGGGGCCAGGTGGCCCACGAAATCCTTCTATGCCAGGCACACCACGGTTTCCTTCTGGCCCACGTGAACCAGCTGCACCAGGATTCCCAACCTTACAAAGGAGGGGGGCAAGAAGTAAACAGCAGACTCATTTCTTGTAGAAACAACTTTCCTTACGTTATTCCAGGAATCAGCCTACAGTTAAAGTTTATCACACCAGAGCAACTCTGGTTTCTTTTTCATGACATTTATGTTAACTTTCTTGATACCTTGTTGAATGATGATATAAGCTTGCTAAAAGGGAAGGTTGTTCAATAAACAGACCATGCGGTCTTCTTTTATCTCCTCCAAGGTAAGTCCCAGTGAATCCATGGGATTCATTGCCAGATATATGGGTTTCAGCCTAACAGTGATTACACCCTTTTCTAATATGCTATTATGACCATCACAACATTTCACACTGTTTTTGACCCAAAGTCCTAGAAAGAAGTCCCAGGAGAGAGGAATAGCCTGGAAACCTAACATTTGGGTGCATTTTTATTTTGATAGAGGCTGGGTTTTTCTCTGCAACCAGGAAAGAAGCTGCCACATAGCGAGTAGCATTTGATTTCCCTTGTCCCCACCAGCACCTGTGCAGTGAAACATCACTTAAGCAATATGAATCCCTGAAGCAATTCCAGACTCTTGTCTTTGCACAAATCCTAGGAATATATTAAATATTTAAAAACAGCTTAACTACCAGAAGGCTATAAGCTACAAGGGCATTTAAGCTCCTCATTTTTGTATTCTATAAATATTACTGTAGAGGAAATAAATATTAGATAAGATTGAATTTGGTCATAGAAGCATTTGTGGGGGAGGGGCTATTTCTCTTCTTGGGGAAACAGAAAATTAGGATGCTTATGTTACAAGCTGCAGAGGGAGGGAGGGAGGGAGGGAGGGGTTTTTTTTTTTTAAAATGGCACGTAAAGCTTCCAAATATCCTACATATCCTATATTACACAAGACCCCACCCACATATTGGGGACTATTGGATCTCTTTTTCTTGATTCTGTTTTGTGTTGCTTCCCAGAAGCCAAGCATCATGGAGATGGTGACACTTGGAATAATGTTGTTAAAATAGGTTCACCTATATTCAACACCTGCATAGCTCACTACTATATAAATCTATGCATTTCTAGAATAATTCATGTTTGACATGATATCAATCAGGTTTCTCACTAGAATAGTGTGTGGTCTGTCTGTCTGTCTGTCTCTCTCTCTCTATAATGCCTTCAAGTAAGTCTTGACTCCTGGCGCCTGCTTGGACAAGTCCCCTGCAGTTTTCTTGGCAAGGTTTTTCTGAAGTGGTTTGCCATTGCTTCCTTCCTAGGGCTGAGAGAGAGGACTGGCCCAAGGTCACCCAGCTGGCTTTGTGCCTAAAATAGGACTCACAGTCTCCCAGTTTCTAGCCTGGTGCCGTAACCACTACACCAAACTGGCTCTCATATATAACATTATAACAGTATAATACTAAATATTAACATTATACTGGGGCTAATCTGACATTTCAAATCCCCCCTACCAAAAAAAGAAAAGAAACAAAAATGTTAAAATATTATTTAAAATTATAAGACTTATTCTTATTTGGGTAATTTTGCTGTTGCCATAACATTTGATGCTAAAGCCCCGCTGGTTGAGAATTATGAGAATTGCATTCCTGACCACTCTGGACATGGCATGTTGGAGACATTGTTCAAGCCAACTGTAGGGTGTTTTCAGCAAGAACTGACAGAGAATGAGAAATGAAGAAAAGCTGATGCACCCTCCAGGCTCAACCAGAAAAAGGAACCAGACCAGACAAAAGTATAAAGGACATTGAGCCCAACTGGAATGTTGCTCTTTTGCTCCATACTGCAATGGAAATCTGAATGTACAGGTGATATTCCTATACATAGTCCCTGTTGACTTGATAGGAGAATCAGCAGCCACCCTTCACACGAAATCTCTTGCACTTCAAAAGTTACCGCAATGGGCAAGCATCAGTTCCAGATGCAGCACCTATGAGAAGAACTTAATTTCTCATGTGGGGTTATTAAGTGGTGTTTTCATCAAACAACTCCCAACATCCCTCCTCTAGGATGCTGCTGCCGGAATGGCTGTGACGGCTAAGAAATATAAAGTTACAATTCTGAAGTGTGCTTCTTGATAACCTGACAGAAATGTGTCACCCAACTGGCACTGCGAATGTATGGGGTTCTGCATGTGCCATTGAGAGAGACATGCCCCTTTCTCATGAAAAGGTTGTAGAAAACCAGCCATCCAAGCCCTCTCAAAAACTATAGCTGGATGAGTCACTGATATTTTTGTTGATCATTGTGGCATAATATTAACCCAAGTACTTCACCATTGAAAAAAGGTAGGAGAAATATCTTTTTGCAACCCATTTTGTTAGAGCCCATTTTGTTTATCTATCAACCACTTTCAATTACACCATCCCTGGACTTCATGCATTATATTAATGATATCATTATCAATATGTATCCACATGATATTAATCCTGGGCCCTTTCTCAGGATTCCCCACTGAATGTGATAGTTGCATGTGAATCAGATGGTGGGACCGGGGAGGGGAGAACCAGTATGGATGAGGAATATATGTAAGAAATGCTTACAAACCACACAGGACACAGGAATAAATAGCAAAGCCTCTTTTTCATTTCTAAACCATCCAGGGCACATTTGCCTCATTCAGATCATCGTATCTGCTTAACCATATATGAACAAGTTACATTCTCTTGCAGCCCTCACTTTTTTCTTCCCTTCACATGAGCAATAACAGATAACAATATATATAATATATAAAAATATTTCTCCATTAGTTCCTCACCAGGAAACCATGTCTAATGGCTTTCAAACAAGGTGGATTATTAAACTAACTTTTCATATCCCAGTTTGTTTAAATGTCATCAACTTTAATTTTCTACTCCAGACACCACTGAGCCAAAGAATGCTTGTCCCACTCCAGCTGCCACTGACACATGTTCCCACACATCATAAAAGCTATGAAGCCACTTGGGTTTATATAAAAAGATCTGCAATATTAGGGATCAAACTACATCTTTTTACGTTGTTATTCAACAGTAAATGCAGGATAACCAGCTATATATCAGAATCTTAGCATGGAGGTAAGAGGGAGCTAATTTTGCACTTTGCCCTTCCACATAATGACTTATTGAAATGAACTGATAATTTGGAGAGATCGAAAGCAATGTAAGTTACAGAAACCAACTTGGAGGGGGGAAGTATCTCATCATCTCAAAGACAGGGTTCCAATCAGCAGCAGATTTCCTCTTGCTTATTTTTGAGTGCTGCTAGCTACAATTTTAAAGCAACCTTTAAACTAGACCAGATGTTGCATCCTGATTTGCAACACAATTGGACACATGGCTATGCAGAAATCTGAATCATGGGTAAGGGTGCACAGGGTTTAAGCCTTAGCATTGATGCTCTGTGTGCTCTAGAAAGTGTGCAGTCTTGGATATGATCTCTATAGAAATTCACTTCATAGGTACTGCTTTGTCAATCCTTGCTTCTGAATTCTTCATTCCTTTCCCAGGATTACTTATTTACTGACCTCATTTTTTACACACTCATCTCTCTTCCATTCTCCACACTACAGGAAGTCACATTTCTCACTTTTTAAAAAGCTTCTAGAAAATAATCCACAGTTTTAAAAGGGAAAAAAATGAATGGATCACTTTAATCTTAACTTCTTTCCTTGGGGAACTGAATATTTTAATGCATTTGTGAAAGCAAACAACCACCCTCTTGTTTGCCACATTCTGCTGATTTATTATGTTTTGGATTTTCAGTAACCCTGCAGTTCATCATACTTACAGATCCTTTAGGGCCTGGCAAACCCGCATCACCCTAACAAAGCAAGATGAATGATGTCAGGATAGCGTAGATATGTGCAGTGTTACATATAATCAATTTCACATCATTCTTTCTACCTATACAAATATTACTACAATTACAGGAGAGAAGGCTTCTTCTTAGAGGTATGCTTCAAGAAGCCACTTCAAAGGTTGAAAAGCAATAATCACAAATTCCAAAACAGAATAAGCACTTCTAAAGCTGAAATAATGAGTTATGCCTTTGATGAGTTTCCTCCTGTACAGAAACATTTATATGTCAATTTCAAGGTATACTTTTGGAACATTCCTGGATTGAGGTTATCTTTGCAACAATCAAAAATAGGAAACCTAGTAAGTTTTTGTGCTGGAAACAGCCTATGCAGACCAGCTAGCACATGCCTTCCCCAACCTCAGCCCTGTCCAGGGCTGTGGCTGTCATGGCCCAGAATTCTCAGCCAGATGAGTGGAAGTTCATGCCAAAGGAATGATCACCCTCAGCGGGAGGTCTAATAAAAGCAGTGTAGAACTGGCACCTGAGAATAAAACGTTGAAGATTTCCTTGGCCTTGAGAGCTGCTGACCTGAATAATGCATTCTTTTCTAAATGAGGAGGGGAATTTCTTTTCAAACTTCCACTTTGAGGGAGCTCCAGCTAGCAAACTCAAGTAAGTAAATGAAGTGCTGCTCTGAGGACTGCTTAAGCAATGGGCTGCTGCGTAGGGAATAGACATCTTGATTATGATTGTTCTCAGACTGCCATAAGGTTCAGCAAAGACTTATACACAGGGGAAGAAGAATTAAGAACCCACTCACACTTCTCTGTTTGGAGAGGATTATTGGCCTTACTCTTTCTGGGAAGACTACTCTAACCTAGTCAAATGGCATTTGCTTCTCTTCTTTATGATGATGATGTGTCTTTAATCCTTTCTGGAGTCTGTCTTAGGTTGTTTGCAATTTGGCAGCTGTATAAATTGAATAAATAATCAATGTGAGACATCAGCTTCGTGACTTTACTGCACCTAGAGTCTTCTCTGAATTTAAAATCCCTTCCTAATATTTTGCTACATTACTAAAGGTCTCCTTTATGAAATGCGCAGTGTTTGCAACAGCATCTTCCTTGAACTATTTAGTCATACTACAGGACACAGTAGCTATTTTGTGTTTTAAGCCTGAACGTTTCCTACTGAAAGGAGTGAAAATTGAGTCTTACCAGGTCGCCTCTTTGTCCAGGCTCTCCTTCTCCCCCAGCATGTCCCTGTATTATAAAAAGACAGATGAGCATAGATTGGAAATAGGCATCATACACATCCCAGAGTTGTTGACAAGGTTGGAAAATAAATAGACAGTGCAAGGCTATATACTCACTTGTTGTCCTTTTGGCCCTCGCCCACCAGCTGAACCCTAGATGCAAATTAAAAATAAAAATAAAAAGTAGTAGTTCCACAAAGTCAATTAAACATGGTCTAACAATTAAACAGTGAGTCATGTCTGTATTTAGAAAGTGAACAATGCATGATTTGATTATTAAAATGCCCTTCTACCAAATCTTAAAACATGAATAGAATAGTAATTAAACAGTAAAATATAAAAGCATACTCTATAAATACTTAGCATTTTTTCACCTAAATCCACATCTCCATTTGTGTTTATGCCCTCATGCCCACTGGAATGAAAACTCTTCTGAAAACAAGGTCCCCATTCAGTTCAAAGGTTGAGAAGATTGCAAAGATGGGTTTCTTCAAGCACCTGGAACTGCCCCTTTCTACTGCTGTTCAGGGAAAATCCCCTCCAGGAATGTCATGCAATTTGAAATGCCTGCATTTGCAGAGAATCAGTGGTTTGGGATGATAACCATGAGAGCCACACTGTAATTGAGGACCGTTTGTATTCTCACTCCTTTACTACCTGTAATAGAGCTGCACTGCAACTAATTTCTGGTTTCTAGCTAGGGCACATTTAAACTTTTCTTTAAGCAATCCTGTATAAATGTCTGTAATTTTTCAATTAAGCACCTTCTTTCTTGCTCACCATTCCCTCTTTTAATTTCATGTCCAGACTGTTTTTGTCTCCATCTCTATTAGGTATTTGCACTCTGCTTTTTTTATGTCTATGCTTATCCCACTGACCTTCAGTGCGTTGACTGGTTCATTTACTTAAACTACCTAGAAATGCTTACATTTTGCAGTATATATTAAATGGAACTTTTTATTTAGGAGAAATATTTTTCATCTTCCAAGGGTCAACTTTAACAATGGCACATCAGACATTAAATGCAGTGGGTAAAGTTCTTATCCATTCCAGCTTCATGCCAAGTCAAGTTTTTCCTTTGAAAGTTTACCTTCCTGTTCTTTGACAAGCCTTGGCAGCAATGGAAGAGTTATTTCTTCATAACAAATATGGAAGACTCTCCATGATTGTTATTTATTTTGTTTGTAAAAAACTTGCATACTAATAACACCTAGAGCCTACCACTAAATCAAACTACAAAATGAAGTTTAAATTAGAATTTTGATTAAAGCTGCTCTTCTAAATTTGCTTAGCCCTGAAGTTGTTAAAAGAGCATAATTTACTTTGGTGTCAAGGTATGGAAAATCAAAGTGTTGGTGTGCAATAGTAAGAGGCTTATGGAAAGAGTTGATGGGTAGGAAAGAGTTTGCTCTTTTCTTTGCTGTCTCCCCAGTAATTTTTGTTTTTTGTTTTGGCAAATTAATCTGGAGTCCTTTATATTAGAGGCATATGAACGTATAATAATGGTTTCATGTACACCTGTTGTCTCTCTTAGCTTTAATAGACATCAACACCTGCTGAGCCACAGTAAGGCATAAATAAGAGGCACTAATGAACAAGGGAAACAATCAAAATAAAAATATTCAGTGCTTACTATTAGCTAAGGTTTCCAAGAAATTGTGTATCTTGCTTTTTATTTAAGAAAAAAGCAATAGTGGCTGTGCTTTTATATATTGCACTGTTTAAGCCAAGAGAACCAGCACATTGCAAGAACATGAGCTTAAACATTATAGGCTATACTGACACTTCTAAGCCAGAACACTGGAGATACTGGATTGTGGGAACTGTACAGGGTAACTGTCTGCTGTGGACGTTTCTGTTTCCTACTATCATCTTAAAATACTGATTGTGGGTCACTCAACTGATTTGGATCTAACGTATCCAATAGATGATTTTCCATACATTCAGCCTGACTTTGTAGCGTATTAGAGAACATGCACAAGTATTTCTGAAAAAGATAAATAGGTAGCTTCTCATCCTCACACAAAATAGCTGTGAGAATATATTGGTCTTGAAGTAGATGATTGACCAAAATAGATTGAAGCCTGTATCATAGGTGGGGACCACAGAGAAGTGGTGAATAACATTTGATTCCTAATGTAACTCAAATAATTATTACCTTAAAGAATGGAAACCATTGATGGACTATTTGCAAAATGCAGGTAGGGTGAAGCTTAC